CTGTAGATATATATATATATCTGTATATTTATCTGTAAATATACTTCGTCCTGTGCAATTTACATAAGACATTAAACATTAAAAATTTAATTAATGTTAACATTATATATTATGAAAATTAATTAAATAAAATAAACAAAAGTAGATAAAGTTGTTTCTTTATTTTAGCTTCTTCGACAAATTGTCAATAAAACTAATAATATATGTAACAATCTTTGATAAATATATGTATTCACAGAGGAGAGTGTCTCATATTTAATTTTAGGTCTATCTCGTCCAATGGTTACTGCGTATAGATCTCATATTATCTGACACTTCTGAACTATATAAAAAGTAATATTATCCTATGTCATTCTTTATAGGATATATGTATATCAGATAGTTTTACATTTTCTTAATGAAATTTTTTTCATTCTTATATCCTAAAGAAAGATGAGATTCTTTACAGACAACTTGCATTGCTTGAAGGTGGAATGCAACCAATCACAATTGAATTCTTACCTCGATAATCATGCCTATCGTTACTTTGTTTTCTTCCTTTATCCAATCAACAGAGTGAATGCAAGTAATTTATAGAGTTCTATTTCTTTCAGAGTAACGTAACTAAAAAATTTCATTAGGAAAAATTAAGGTATCTTACATCTATCTACTCAACAAATGATAATATAAGATTCTATTAGATCCCGTAATGAAATTTTATGAGATTCTAGCTAAGTAAAAAGTAAATAAAAAAATTTCTGTATAATAAAATTTTAAGTGGTAAATTTTTGTTTATGAGAAACTTATATTTAATAATAATTTTTATTTTAATTTACCCATTAAAAATGTTAAGTTACCTCTACCATTTACATAATTCATATATAATTTAATTTTAAATTTATCCTGTATTGTATATATTGATAATATATGTGAGATTGTGTAATTTAAACATTTTTGTTGGCAAAGAATGAATAGTCATAATCGTAATTTTTCTCTTGCAGATGGTTTCTATCATAATATGAATTATAAAGTACTTACCTTGAAATCTTACACCATTTCTGCGCACCACAACTCTCCTGAATTCGGCTCCAACAACTTGATCACCATAAACAACTCCTCTGGCATCGGTAAGCGTGCTAGTGACTTGGTGTCCACCACTACTTCTCCATCTACCAGGCAGGGTGGCATTTTGACGATCTCTCACAGCCACCACAGCACTACCATGCATACCGTGTGGCAATCGATTTCTTCGTAGGACCACCTCCTGTCCAGAATCGGGATTTCCTGGCGCAGGTGGTAATTCTATATATCCTAGCCTTCTGAGTTCCGAAACATCTAAAGATCTACTCGATGTCATATTGGGTGTTTGATTTTGCATTATCTTTCTGTCTTCCACCTGTTCGTATTTCTTTTCCTTTCTTTCCACAGGCAAGGTCACTTGTTCTCTAATTTCGGTAAGGGTGAGCTTTCTTCCATTGACCGCTTTCGTTCCTCCTGGAAGACTGGTGCTTCTACGAATGGTGAATCTCTTTATTGAAAAAGGCATTTTCCTGGACTTTTCTGAAAGTAGAAAAAAATAAGAAAAAAACTTTATACATTGTTTTTTCTGTTTGCAATTCGCCATCAATTCGCGATAATTCGAATTCGGTGAAAAGAGAAAGATTTGATTTAAAGAAAAATTTCGGTCTCCTTGACAAAAATCTGATTTATAAAGCGAGTAGTTTCGAATTTCTCTAACTTCAATTTATCTAAAATACAAAAAAATATATATAACAATTTCTATACTGAAATCTGTGCAAATTTAATTGAGAAAAATACTTTAATAAAATAAATCTTTATAATCGCTTAAATTACCTAAAACATTAATTTTAATATATCTTCCCTTGGAAAAAAATTATACCGTAATACAGTTTAATACCACAAAAAACACGAGAAATAACTCAAAGTTTAATTGATGATGAAATATAATCCAAAAATAAATCAGATAATAAACTATTTATCGCATTAAATCTATCTAAATTACTAAAGAAAAAAAAAGTAGCTACACTGATACGCAGTAAATTTATGAGTAGAAGAAAAACCGGATAATAAAAAAAAGAATTCTAATTGTAAAGAAACCGGCAGCTTTTTATTAAAAAAAAGATATAAAAAATATTTAAAACATCATACGAAATACCGAAAAAAAAAANTATTAAAAGATAAAATATTGAACGATGTTCCTTGTTATACAGTATAAGGAAAATAACGATAATAGAAAAACATCTTTCGTATCCTCTTACACACGATAGAAAACACGATTTATATTCTTTTAATGAATGTTTTTTCGTTATAATTTATTATAAATTGCTAAAAATATTCTTCAATTTGTCAGAAATAAAATTATTCTATTCTACTAATAAAACCAAATTAGAAAAATTATTTTTAAAGTTTTTATATAAATGGATACGAATGTTAACAATCAAAATAGGATGTAGTTAAACACGTTTAAACGATACTTAAATTTAAAATATATCATTTTTAAAGTATAATTGATTTGAAAAACAGAAATTGACAGAGTGGGCGTATTTTTCTTCGTTTCTTTTTAAATGTTAACCAATCGTTTCTAAGAAAATCATATACCGAACAAGACGTCATTAAAACGTATTTAGTTTGTTGTTTTACATACAAAACAAAGGATTTCTTATATTCCTAGGCATTTCTTCGTTTCTTCTGTAGGTTCCTAAGATTATTTTTTTAATCTTTTAGTTATTTATATAATCCGTTTTATTTTTCTAGTTATCTTTTATTCAATAAGGAAAGAATGTATTTTACTTTTATATAAAAACAAATAATGAAATATTCATAAATTTTTAAAGTTATTTAAAAGGACTAAACTCTAATATAAATAATGGAATAATTAATCATTTCGATTTCTAAATTATAGAATAATTAACATATTTTAAATTAATTATTTTAGAGTTATCAATGATAAACGTTCTGAACTAGGTGAGTATCTTAATTGTTACTGTTCATGTGCATCTGTTTTACGTGTAATTTGTTATTCTATGATTGATATACATTCTAAGTTTTAAGCGACTATTCGATAGATGTTTATATAACTTATAATAAGTGAATCATATCTTCTTTAAACATAGTAAACGTGGCTTATTTGGCATATAAAAACGATATAGTAGCAAATAAAATATCAAACAATCGATTTAAAAGTATAAACCGAGAGATATTTTTCTACTGTTTATTCAACTCTAGAAAGCTGTAACGATAGGAGAATAGAATGTAAATATATGTATCATTTTTTCCTCTTTTTCTTTATATCATACTCAGAATCCGATCAAAATACTTCACGAGGCAATAACCGAATAATAACTTTATTTCTGATATAATCATCTTTATGCGCTGTTGTTATATTCATCTTATAACTTAAATGTTCACGTTTCCAAGGTTACATATAAGCTTCTATTCTTTTATTCCAGCAAATATTATTCCGAGAATTTCTGTTATCTTCATGTTCTATAGAAAGAAAAATTCCATTAGATGAATCACGTGATCTGTCGATGTTGCACATCTTTGAAATTGAAGACTCCATGGCACTGCATGAAACGTTTTGTCACTATCTTGACTATAATGGCGGTTGCTATAGTTACTTGTTGTAAAGTATTCCAGGATTTTAAACGTCCCAAACTTTAAATCCGAGAAGACAGGTAATATACAAAACCATATCCGCTGTCATTGTTAAAAGATTTTGTTCTATTATCAAAAAAAAAAGTGTATTTTACAAATACCTTTTCAGCTTCTATCGTATGCGATAAAGCTTATAACATCTTCTTTAAAACAAGATGTTTCTAGTTATTTTCTATAAAATTTACTCATATTTTTTATAAATATTAACACACAGATTTAAATAGAAATAAAAATAAATAAATAAATTGATTCACAATAAATATTCAGTAATAATAAACATCATTAAAAACATTTTTAAAAAAAATTATAACCAGTTTCAGATTTTAACCAATATTCTACTCGAAACTGAATAAATTACAAAAATAAACGAATCAGAGTTAATGATATTGATTAATTTTCAATTGCCAGTTGTTTAATTGGTTGATAAATATTACGTATCTTTAAATCTACAAATCTAATTGGTTAATAAAAACTAATTTTTAAAATTATTTTAAATTTAACGTTAAATCANATATGAAAAATTTAGCTATAAAACATCATAAATTATAAGAAGATACTGTACTGTATATAGTATATAAGTTTCTTGTATAAACAAACTTCAAAAAACTTTAAAGATTTAAGAAAGATATATTTTCTAGCGAGATCGTGTTTATGTTGCACATTACAGTTATAGAATGACTGACTTCAGTTCATATATTGCTAAAGAAAAACCATTTCCATTCCAGAAACTTTTCCTTTGATATCCGTGCTGACAAACATCAGGTTCCTTTTTTTCTTCTTCTTCTTCTTCTTTCCCTTTAAAAGTTTTATTTCTTAAATAAAACTTTAATCTGAAATTTCACCTTGTTTGCTGGATTTGTTCTGAAGACTTTATGGCAAATTACAATTCTTCAATAAAACTGCAGCGTGGAAAGTTACAACACTTTAAGGAAAGAGGAAAAAAAAAACTTAAACAATAGAAATCACCTTGGTAACCTTTTAGTAGTTAAACTTATCGATTCTTCAAAAGTTAGATAATGAAAAATTCTGTATCGTGTTGTGTGATGTTATTAAGTATCTTGGCGCCATCTCATAGTGATTTTTAATACTAGCTTAAATGTATTTATATAAAAATTTAATCAAAATTAAATTGTATCGTCTCATTTTTAGGTTAAACTCGTTGATCCCTTCTTTATTAAAAAAGTTAAAGTTAAAATTTTAAATAATTATACTCTAAAAATAACTCAATAACTTTTTTTTATATAATTTAAAATTTAGGTTCAAATAATAAAATTTAAACTTAAAAATCGATTAAAAATAATAACTTCAAAAAAAGCTCTAATATTAAATCTTATTATTATTTTTTTTATTATTGCCTAAAGGTAGAGTATGCAGCTTAAAGTTAAAATTAATAAATTTTTCTTCTATAAGAAAATGCTATTAAATGTATTTCTATAGCTCTATCCTTTTTTTTTATTTCTTTATTTTTTCGAAAATAATTATATTTATATAACGTACTAAAAATGTATTTATAAAATATTTATAGATTTTTTTTCGGAAAACAAATTGTAAATTTTTCATTTATTTTTAGTAGAATAGAAAAAAAATTTATTATATTAAAAAATAAAATATTGAACGATGTTCCTTGTTATACAGTATAAGGAAAATAACGATAATAGAAAAACATCTTTCGTATCCTCTTACACACGATAGAAAACACGATTTATATTCTTTTAATGAATGTTTTTTCGTTATAATTTATTATAAATTGCTAAAAATATTCTTCAATTTGTCAGAAATAAAATTATTCTATTCTACTAATAAAACCAAATTAGAAAAATTATTTTTAAAGTTTTTATATAAATGGATACGAATGTTAACAATCAAAATAGGATGTAGTTAAACACGTTTAAACGATACTTAAATTTAAAATATATCATTTTTAAAGTATAATTGATTTGAAAAACAGAAATTGACAGAGTGGGCGTATTTTTCTTCGTTTCTTTTTAAATGTTAACCAATCGTTTCTAAGAAAATCATATACCGAACAAGACGTCATTAAAACGTATTTAGTTTGTTGTTTTACATACAAAACAAAGGATTTCTTATATTCCTAGGCATTTCTTCGTTTCTTCTGTAGGTTCCTAAGATTATTTTTTTAATCTTTTAGTTATTTATATAATCCGTTTTATTTTTCTAGTTATCTTTTATTCAATAAGGAAAGAATGTATTTTACTTTTATATAAAAACAAATAATGAAATATTCATAAATTTTTAAAGTTATTTAAAAGGACTAAACTCTAATATAAATAATGGAATAATTAATCATTTCGATTTCTAAATTATAGAATAATTAACATATTTTAAATTAATTATTTTAGAGTTATCAATGATAAACGTTCTGAACTAGGTGAGTATCTTAATTGTTACTGTTCATGTGCATCTGTTTTACGTGTAATTTGTTATTCTATGATTGATATACATTCTAAGTTTTAAGCGANTTATATCATTTTAAAATTTTTGATGTCTGCTTATTGTTTTCAAACAAAGAATGATTTTTTTTTAAATAAAGTTTTTTGATCATATATCATGTGAAATTCTGTTAAAAATAATTCAATACCTATTTGCCAGAGTAATAAAGAAAAGTGGATAACTATGTGGAGTTACAGCGAAAAATATCCAGTCCATCTGTGAAAAAATTCTAGTAGGAAAAAAAAAATCAAGAAACGTCTGGATGAAATTGGATACTGGATAAATTGCAATCTTTGCTAAAAGCATAAGATTTTCGATTCTATAAATTCCCGCATAATTGGATTATTAGAAAAGATATGAGGGTAAAAAGAAAGCTATTTAATTAACACATCACTTTAAATTTATATCAAAATTCCTTCTTTTTTTTTTCT